CACCTCAGCTTCAGTCTACCTAAATATCCCTTCAGAATCTGGCACTGAGATACAGTTGCCCGATGGCAATTGTATCTTTCAAAAAGAAGAACTTCAGATACTTTGGAATAGAGGTTGCGAAGAGGACAAAGGCATAAGAACCATGTACAAAGCTCTGCGAGATGGTGAGCGGGCCTTCCCGACAGAACTTAAGCTGAAAGTATCAATCTCAGAATGCGATTTTGATGAGAGAGGCGTCCTTAGATTTCGTCGTCGTATATGGGTACCAGGCTGGGAACCCCTACAGACAGCTCTGATACAAAATACGCACGACTCGTATATAACGGGACACCCAGGTCGTGATAGTACATATGCTATCTTATCAAGGAGTTTTTTTTGGCCAGGGGCATCGACGATGGTAAGAACTTTCTGTAAAAATTGCGATGTTTGTGGACGATCTCACGTATGGCGAGAAAAGAAAAAAGGATTGCTCCTACCGCTACCGATACCTAGTCGTTTCCATTCAGAATTGTCAATCGACTTTATGACGGATCTGCCAGCAAAATCTAGACAAGATTCTCGATATCTCATGGTGATTACAGACCGACTATTGAAAAGTTGCACCCTTGAAGCTATGAGCTCAATGTCAGCAGAATGCTGTGCTGAGCGGTTTTTACACTGTCACTATCGTTTTCATGGATTTCCATTATTTTTAACTTCTGATCGTGGTTCAAATTGGGTTGGAAATTTCTGGACCCATCTATGTAAGTTAGTAGGTATAGAGCAGCGTCTTTCCACGGCGTTTCATCCTGAAACGGATGGAAGTACAGAGAGGATGAATCAGGAAGTGTTGGCATACCTTAGATCTTTTATATCCTACGCTCAGTACGAATGGCCTGATATGCTTCCGTCAGCTATGCTAGCTCTTAATAATAGAGACACAGTCATCGGTCTTAGTCCTTTTTTCCTCACACACGGTTATCACGCAGAACCTATCGAACAAATCCCGCCCCCTTCCAAAAATTCCGATGCACCTGAAAAGAAAGCCAGGGAATTTGTACAGCGAATAACAGATGGACAGGAATATGCACAAGCTTCCATGGCATTTGTCCAACAACGAATGGAATCAGCATCTAATCAAAAGAGGCTTCCGCAAGAGAGGTTTGAAGAGGGAGACCTTGTTTGGTTAAAACTAAAAAATATTGAGACGCCACAACTTAGTAAAAAGCTCTCATGGGTTAACGCAAAATATCGCGTCCTCAAAGTTATATCCCCTCATGTAGTCGAACTTGATGTCCCATCGGGTATACATCCGAGATTTCACGTCGATTTGTTAAAACGAGATCCACAAAACCCCCTTCCGTCTCAAATTATGTTAGACGAGCAACCACCGCCGCTTGTGAATCCTGATGGTGACAATGAGCAATTCGTTGAAAAGATTCTCAGAGCCGAAAAGAGAAAGAAAGGTCGGGGCTTCCGAAGGGAGGTGTTGGTAAAGTGGAGAGGTTTTCAAGAGCCAAACTGGGAATTGCGCCAAGGTCTCGAAGACACGGAGGCTCTTGATATCTTTGAAGAAAGGTACGGTGTTGGTGATGACGTGGGAGAAGATGTCGGGGCAAGAATAGGTGTTACTGGCAAAAGGCAAAAAATTTTTACACCTGAAAAAAAGAAACGAGTAAAAAAAAAAGAAAAAGAAAAAAGTACTGTGAGGAGGGGATAATGTTACAGGCTGCGCCTATCTCCTAGTGACTGTCGCACGGACACTTATCATTATTACGTCATTAGCCTTGCTATCTAGAGAGATGTCCAACTTGGCCATACAAATACAGGGTTGCAACAAATATGGAAACAAGATATTGTTGCAGCAAGTCTCATATGGAATCATGGGCCGATACGACCCAGATTCGCTATGACGAGCCCACTCGGAATATCAAGGATATGATGTAGTAGAATAGATAGTGAGGTTAGCGCATTGGGAGTTGGGACACCTTAAGTAGCATCCCCTCGGTGGACAGTTCCGAGATGTATGTAGAAAATAGACAGTAATCGGCCACCATTCCTTTACTATATTGTTTTGTTGATCGCCCATCACAATACCCAACTCATTTGAGACAGAAGACGGTTGCGACATTTTGGTTCCGACAGTAATGCAGTAGATAATAGATTTACGGGGTTCGTTGTGCGGATGGTGTCTTGGGATTCCAACTATAGCTTTGCGTAATAAAATTATCAGACGTTGTCTGATTCCCCTTCTATAGATAGATGATATGTTTAGTATACACAAGTCTCTAACTTGGTGTGCATTTTTTATAAAGACTGGGTAACGAGAGACAAATTACCATGACAGTTATCTGACCTAAATAACTAAACTGCTTCTCATTCAGCATTTCTCAACCACATTTCTCGCAGTGCAGAGATACATGTTTGACAATGTGATACTTGGATTAGCCAAGGTTTTAAAGCTTTCTTTTAGTGGGTGCTAATGGAGGAGAGTCAAATGTTACAGTTGGCAAGTATGCCTCGTGGTTGTATTTGCGAATGGAATCCATAGTATGAGTGTCTGTAATTTCAAAAGAGTCACCCAACATGTACACATATCACTGATCATGTGTCATGGTTAGGCAGCTGAGTAGTAATTAAATGATTCTAAAAAATTACTGGCGCAGGTTCAATTTTTTCATTGACGTGCTAGGCAATTGGCACTCTACACACTCATAGGTGAGCTCGAGCTAGAGTATGGCCGGGATGGATCAGGCCAACTATCAGATAAGTACAGTAAATCTCGACCCACCTAAACGACCGGACCTCCTCAGACTTCACCTATGTGTTGGATCATACCAAGCCTAACAGTCCAGAAATCCGCTAAGTCTACGCCGCAGCGTAAATCCTCCTGAGCCTTAGCAACTAGGCGCCCGAGCTCTTGAAATCCCCATTTACTCCGAAATATAAACGTCGTCCCAGATCTCATCGTTGCCCTAGCCTTGCACCTTCATATCCTACCGTTGGGTTGTTATCGTCATCGGGGGTTTTTGCAATCTCCTCAGTGTATCTCCCCTTTTCTTCCTCCTTTTTACACTTCCCGTTTCCATCATGACTTTCCTCATAAGGGCGTGTGTAGGTAGGTTATAAGACGAGTATGGAGGTGGGTCGCAGGTGTATGATCGACTGAGGAATGCTTCGTAAATATGCTAGTTTGAGCGATGTCGGTTATTTGAATACGACCCCCAAATAGATCTAGGTCCATTCGTGAATCTTATGTTGGTGGTGATGAGTTTTTGTTCGACTGTCTTGCGATAGTGAAATCTCTGGCGACTGATTTTTGGACCAAAATACCGAGTAGAACCCCCCCAAGCCGAAAGTCCGTCGAATAAAATTCGTCCCTACATTGTTCATGAATGAATATCGGCTCTGGAATAATATTTTACTCCCAGGTTCGAAGAGGACACCAATGACAAGTGTTTAGCCTTCGTGCTTCGCTATTGGCGCAGGCCAAGGAGAAGCGGTAGAATTTTACTCCTCTATAGATGACATCGGGGCACAAGCGAGACGCAAGGCTATGCAATAATTGTTTTGCTTTTTTTGAATTTGATTTCATTTAGCCCGATTTGGCGCCCAGTTGGCCCATGCAGGTTTCCATGGACTCTACTACTTACATGGGAGGAAACTTGGTGGTAAAGACCCTCAACTTCTCAATTTATTTACACTTTCATATTGTGTTACTTCCAAGAAGTGCACTAATACTGTTATGTTAAGTGCAGATACTATCCACTTGCTTGCTATCGGCAAGAGATCATCCTTCCCCTTCTCACCTCTCTCACCCTCTGGCCCAGTTGGAGCATGCCATAATCATGCGCTTGACATTCTGGAACGGATATCCACATTGGCATTATGGGCTGCCTATTCCGGGAACAAGTCTTCTGTGCAGATGAGAATTGAACCCAATGAGCTCACTTCTTATTTGCATGGCTATGTTACTTTGGGCCCTGTGAAGATCTTTGTGGATACTGAAAAGTGTTCCTCTGTAGTTCATTCTTGTGCTCCTCATCTTGTTGTCATTAAGAATATTCGCTGATGTCCAGGTATCGTTTTGCTTTTAATGTTTTCATTAGCTTCTACCGAATTGGTCATCTCAGTAGTTTTGAGTCTTTAGGGAATGAATACCCGTATCATGTCTTTTAGATGCAGGCCTCGTGTCTGGTACATTAGAACTACCAAGTTAAAACAACCTAAAATCTGGGTCTATCTTTGACATACGTGTTCCTGATGAGTTTATTTCAGACTTCTGAGCTGCGATAAGACGTCTGACGGCATTATTTTGCATCAAGGTAAACAACACATTTTCTTCACGTCGGTAATAAATTAACTTTATCTAACCCATCAATATTCAGAATCAATTTTTGACCCAGAGAACAACTCAACCCCAGATTCTCAAAAGACACTACTCATAGGTCTTACACAACTGAGTGCTCCTCAAAATATGTTTCTATTTTATACTGACATATAAAATAACTCTATCTGTCGGTAATTGTTCAATTTGGTTTGCACCAAGCATGGTGTATCCATCAGTTGCTGAGTCATGGTCTTGATGACTCAGCTAATACTTCGAACTACACGTTCGGAATGTCAATGGAAAGAAAATACAATACATACCCCATTTTTGTACCTTTCATTTTGCATTGAAATAACCTCATGTATAGGTACATTGAGGCCAATCGACGCTATCAATGTAAAAAAGTACCACTACTGTCGATTATCTAAATTTGAAAGCTAAACCTTCATATCTAGGAATGTAGATTTCTCGAAGATTTTGATTTAAAATAATAATTTTCTAGAAATCACTCCTATAAGAGCAAGGATTCCCGTCCGAATTCTGCTTTGTTTAAATGATAATAATCCAAACTCCACAATACCTGACTAGTCTGAACACGAGCCCCTAATTACATGTCAACTAAACAACATGGAAGAAAATTAGCTTCCAGATAAGTGAACATAGTGCCTAGTCCCCAAAATAAACGGATTTCCTATGAAAGTTGTTTCTTGATAGAATTGACTTCAGACTTAAATAATTTGGCATTGGCTTCTGACATCTTGGATCTGTTAGCTTCCTGGGACTGTCACATCAAAATAAAAAATTGGTACCTTGAGAAGCATCATAATGGGTTTTAATTCCTTGTCGCCCTCGAAAGCCGTGAAGACGAGCTGGGATGATGAGGTTGCATTCTTATTTTCGAATGTCATTTCTGGTAGAATAATCGTATTCAGTACAACTCGGTGCGTATTTTCTTGTCGCATGATAAGGCGAGCAGCGCAAGATGTTTCTTGCTCTTTCGAAATATCCACAGAGCCAGTAAATCGAAAAGAGCCTGAGATAACCGAACCATTTTCGTCATAACTGACACATGTTTTTGGGGCGTTAATTTTTAGTGTCCCTACGCCTCGTTCTTTCCAACCAGCGTCTTTGGACTCTAGGGCAAAAAGCTTAGCTCTAATTTGAAGTAAAGTAGCTTCTTCAGCTTCTCCATCATCGATATAAACTACAATTTTATTAGTTGATGAATTTGATTGCCTATGAAGTAATGTGATAACCAACCCTTGGCGGTTTTATTACTTTTCAGTTCTAATCCAACAGTGGCGTTCTCTTCATCCTCGACACTGGGGCGAGAATCATTACTCTCGCATCCATTTTCTTCGCTCTCTGGCGCCCCGAAAGCCTTGGGTCGTTTTATGCCGATGGAAAGGCTCTTAGATTCAGGAGCGGCAAAGCTTGATAACTTAGGCCCAACACTACTGGCGAATCCAGACCCTAGGCTTGAGCCAAACATACTTCCATTGGTATGGGTAGCAAAACTGGATTTAATGCTATTGGAGAAACTAAGGCCTGTGCTGTTATTATCATTAGAGTCGTGTACAAAGCTATTTGTGCCGTTAAAACTTGTTTTACCCGGAGAACTTAGGTTATTTGTTACATCGGATACAGATTTACTTTCATCACCATTGCTGCTACTGCTGAATATACTTTTTTTTGAGTTTCCTAAGCATCCGAACGGTGAAATGGTTGAATTTGCCAAGGAGGCAAATGCAGAATTGGCAAAAGATATTGCAGGATCTTTGGGTGCTTCCGTAGTTTTGGGTTCTATTGGTAGATTACTAGTTTCTTCAATATAATTTTTTTTGGCGTCCGTTTTTATTTCTAGAGCCTCTACAGAGGTAGGATCCTGTAGTTCATGCTTAGCTGGCGTCTAAGATCAAAAGTTCACTCCGAACTCACCTTTATTTCGGATGAGCCTTCTGAGAGACGATCCTGAGAGGCGTCACGCGGACGTTTCTTTTCGGGCTCCAATCTTGTCGTTCGACTGCCGTTTCCTAAATTCTCATTGATGTGCTCTCGCTCAGGTGGAATACTGATATTTTGGTCTTTGAGTTCTTCATCTTGGTCTCGACTTCTCTTTTTTACTAATGGTATAACGTTCCTTGTCGGATTTTCCTTGGAGTTCACATCTATCGCGAGTGGCGATAAGCTTCTTTTTGTGTGGATAACTTTTATGTTATCTTTTTCATCATTTTTTCCAACCTCTGAAATTTCGGCTACTTCAGAATACTTACCTGACCGTAAACTATAAGAGGATTTATCTGAAAGTGTAGCGTGCTTTAGCTCTTCGCTAGCTGCTATTGTGGCAGGGTCATCTCTGAGGGATGAATCTTCATGTCTTACATTCTCAGTGAGGCTTACCGACTCCTCATGGACGGGCTGGACTTCAGTTTCTGAAAGGAATGAACAGCTCAGGGCGGAGCCGTTATCGGTCCTAGATTCCATACTTTTGAGGCTTTCTTAACTTTCATGGACAAAGAGACTAGCAATTTTTGCTGAGATTGAACATAAGTATGCCTCTGTTAGGCGTGGCAGAATGTTGTGTGATTAATGCTACAGGAGCCTGACGCTGATAACAAAGGCTAGACTAGCTTCAGTTAAGGAGTAAGCTAATTAATTTAGATCCGACTAATTTGGAAGTTCATTGCTTTCGAGAAAAAGCGTTAGTTTTATGCGAGCGGAATTCTGGATCCTCATATATTTTGCATAGACTTAGATACGAGTAACGTGTTGGTATGTAGCTTCACAGGAGCAGACCTACTCTTCGAGAGGGCTCACACAGTTCGTGGGTTGAATTAGACTGTGATCATGTGATCATGATGACATGAATATTTGCCCTACAGCACCCCGACGCGACCGAATAGTATCGCATACGCGATGCACGTGCAAGGAATTCACAACCACGTTAAATCTAACTGTTCCTGATCTGTCCGCTCACTTTTGAAATTGAGAGCTTAATTCTTGTACGTGGCATCATCTGTGAGCCCTGTGGTGAAATTTGCTGTATGGACCGATTTTCAGCCACTCCAAGGATATACAAAGTGATTTTTTTCAACGTTGCAGCCTTAAGGAGTGGCGTTGACAATCTTTTAGTGAAAACTAGCCTGCAAAAAATTCATGATTACGGACGAGGGTTGACTTGGGGTGAAGAAATAGCCACCATAACTTCGCAGTTATATTTGCATTTGAAATCTAAGGCATGAGTGCTCTGATTTTAAGTTGGGTCATCTATTGTGTATCTTTTCATTAATGTTGTGTCCTAGCTAGACAGCTGCATACGTAATTAAAATCTGATGCAAAAAAGATTAAAAATTTCATGACCGCGCAACCTAATGAGATCAAACATTCACGGCCCAAATACGATCCACAGACAGCCTTAAACCTGCCTCATGTCTGTTCTACAAGCACCTGACACCCTATTCCATCTTTAATTTTCCTGTGAGGCTTTCCAATTTCAACGCACCTCGCGATCTACCGAATCACTCCAGGTTTTTGTCATAATAATAACCTAAGATGCAAGAGGACATCAATCACACCCCTGCTCTCGCGCACTGTGAGGTTACGGCCTTAGATTCGTCTGTACCTTGGTCAAGAGCATCAATAAATCGATCTGCGACGAAATACGCATGATGTTATGCCGGAATTTTAACTAGGGCATATGAAAAAGTCCCAAGCATCGATGACTCGATCTTCAGCTCCTCGACATATATTTGGTCTCCACAGCTAGATATCCGACAGTGGCTGGACAATTCCGGAAAGCTGAATTATCTCCTATGTTTCCAAGAAAGAGAGATCAGGAAATAGCATACGAGAATACTACAATGGGGAGCTGAAAGGGAAACAAAACTGACGAGGTTTCCTGGGAGACTGGATAGAAAACAATGAAGTAAGGATGATAAGGTGACGTGGGCTCGGGCGTGTGGACGCAAAGGTCGAGGAAGTACTTGATCCACGTTACCTTGAAATCGAGCCTTCTGGTCTATTGGAACTGGTATTATTCAACATACCGATGAAGCATAAGGCGATCAGGCCATTCAAGTGAGGGAGACTCATATTATAAATGGTAGTAAACCTGGTAGAAGCCTGCCCCACTCGATCTCCAGCTCCTAAAGTAGTGGAGTCTGTCAGTTGCATTGCACGTTAATTTACAAACAGTTCATGCATTATTGTGACAACTTCTTTTTGACTCTCGAAAGCAGGTACAATTGGAAGCTTGGTTTATAAGTAGATGGAAGTTCCCGTGGAAAAAAATATTTCGTCTACTTATACTGGTTGATTGTGCCTAGGTCTTCATATCTAGTAGATAGTGTTACAACACATTAACTAAGAAGATTCTTGTAAATGATCGCATATTCATGTGTATCCCTACTCTAGTGTAAGGATATAAACGACGGTTCCTGTAAATAAAATTTACGCCAAGGCGGGTGTAGAAGTGCGTATGCTAGATTATTTATTGTAAAATTGATTGAGATCAGCCTTCATCAGCGGGCTTTAGGTATTTATAAACATGTGGATTATAAGTCGGGTGGTGTTTTCAAAGGCTTGGTGCAGTGCGTCGCGAACATCGAGACTTAGAATTCGGTGAATCGCTTGAACAAAATTTTCGTGATGACTGGACAGAATTATTTATAAACTCCTAATATCTATCCGTTGGTTGCCTAGTTTTTCAGCATGCGGAACAAAGATACACGGAACATTGAGATCAAATCACTTGCATTTCTAACTTATGAAACACAAACACCCTAGTCCGATGTAAAAGACGAGAAGTGGATAGACTGCTATTCCGACCCTATTCTTTACCACACCGCTCCCTCCAAGAATACTTACGCCTGCAGCGACTGACCAGGCGACCAAGAAGAGATAAATTGGAATACGAGCGACGGTAGGAAGATGAAAGACTGAAAGAAGTGCAGCAATCACAATCGGAAATAGAGTATACCCTATTATACAGACTGACTGCGCAAAAGAGCTAGATCATTAATGTAAGTAGAAAAAATCGAAATATTGGAGTTGAGTCACATACATATTACCTCCTAGAAGCTTTATCTGCGCCGTTACCACGGCTTCCCCAATCCAAACCATAGCAAATACTCCACTAAACACCAGACTCTTTTGTTCGCTTGCGGCTGTGAAGCTTAGGAATAAGCTTAAAAGTAGGCAAAACACTAAGGGGCCCCAAAGATCCCAATCTCTTAAGCCCTCGCTCATACCTCCCTGTAGCAACACATCCGCGTCAACAACCCTTCCAGCTAAGCCCATCAGCTCTTCGCGATTGGTGCCTCTAATAGAATCGTATGTGCTTCTCAAAGAAGTTGGCATGCTGCCGCCGAAAAGATATTTTGGGTAAAGAACTTCGCGCATCTTTGACCAAATAGCACGTAGGTCACGGGACAGCGTTTCCCATACTGATTCATCAATTGTATTTTGTGGAGCTCGACGGTCTTCGCCTGGAATGCGGGAAGTAAAGTAGTTATCGGCATGGGTTGAGGAAGGCTGGGAAATATTTCCAGCCAGAGGTGCACGAGAAGAAGTCGGGTGGAGTGGATCATCAAGGTCATCAATGCCAGCTACAAATGTTAATTAAGGCTCCAACGTAAGAGAGACTCATACCATCGTCAGGGTCTATTAAATCATCGTGCTCTGTTTGGGAAGAGTCATTGTGATTATACGGATTTGACGAAGCCATGCTGATGTGTGTCGAAAAATTAATGATGGGAAATTAGATGATTAGTATGGTCGTTGACCTGTTGTAAACAATGTTAGTATTTCATCCTTAGCGTTGATTGATACAAACCGAGAATCTCTACAAGCAAGCAAGGCTGGCCGAGCTCCTCATCCATTCGACATCTCTGTCCTCTGCAGGCGCACTAAATAAGCTTGGTACGTGCTCATGTATTTCGGCCTATTTATAATTGCCTGAGGCTAGTGTTACTAATTCTTCTTTAGGGTCATCTTGCATCTAGCTTGCAATTCCACTTATAATCAATACCAAGATGAGATAGCGAAGATCGAAAATCTAACAGCAGTGCTCACTACTCATCCAGAAGTTAAAATTTATCCCGGAGTTTGATTCAGTCAAACCTAGCAATACTAGGGGAGTTGGCTCATGAGGTGAAACTTTGAGACTCCATACCAAATCAATATTTTATCACCGACAAGATTGATGCCGACTATATATTTCTCAAAAAATATAAGCAATAGATGGAGTGCATTCATTTCAATGAAGACACTCTCCATCAAATGAATTTCGGGCCCCTGCTTGCCCCCAAATTCAACCCCACGACCACATGTCCTTCGTATCCATATACTGAGAAATGAAAACAAAAAAACATGCCCACGACAAGACGAATACGCACAAGAGGACCAAAAGTGTGGTGCACAAATCTGGGAGGTAGAACTTCGGGGTGGACTAACATAAATCATTATAGGAAGGTAAGATAAAGCTAGGAACGAAAAAATGTCAGAAAAGGTGAGGTTTTAATTCTTGAAGAAGACTCCTCCACATTGAAGAGCATTGCGCGAGTCACCACTTTGATTGCGAGAATGTAGGCGAGACTATTGACACCACAATAGTTGGATAGCGCGGTAGAACATCATGCGGGCTGCTCCCCTAAGTTGAGTCTGAATAGCCTAAACACCTATCCCGCTTGAGAAAGGAGGTGACTAGTTCGAATCCAGTAGGAGTCGACCAAATTCCTTGCGGTGTTGGTTTGCTTGGATAACCAAAGTTTCTGAAACTTCTTGATACTAGGTATGAACTACGGCCGTCTATTTTTAACAACAAACATACCTCACAGTGGTATTTACGAATGAAATACAGGATATGAGCGTCTCTGGATCACAAAAACTCATCCAACATGCATGTACAGCACTGATATGTGTCACCTAGACAGCTGAATATACTCGGATGATCTGAAAAAAATAATTTCTCAGGTTAATCATGTGAGGAGGTCAACAAGTTGTTTTAGATATATCCATTGGGTTTTTGGCTTACAAACGGGTTTAAGATTAGATTTTCTGCTTCTTTTCATTACAAGAATTTGAAGAAACAACTTACCCCATCTCCAGCTTCGCAATTTTTATTACTTTTCTCTTCTAATTATAATCCTCGGAGTATACTAACAACATATTCCTTATCAAAATTTTCTTGACCTTGCATCCTGTTCTCCAGTGTGGGCCTGATTCTTGCTAACGTACCTCGTAATGACGGGTTTTCCCTCTTCGAGACATCGTCGAAATAGCTTTAGTAAGCGGTGAGATAATCATAGAGAGGGTCGGAAAGTGATAGAGAGAGAGATGTATGTTTACTATATTACGTGAGTCATAGACTATCTAGAGCATTGAGCTCCTCTCTGGCCCAGGCCACACCTTGTACAGTGCTCCTTTCCTCTTTCGTGACTTAAGGGGTTTCTGATATATTGCCTATAATGGATAGCCATTCAACTGAGTATTTACCCGCAGAATTGAGCCAAATTTTCTACAGAACCTTGCACCCAAAAAAATAAGAAAAAAATGGTAGCAATGAAATCTGCGTGTGGCCGGCAAAGACGAAACCTTCACCTTCAAGTCGTGCTGGTGTAATCGCTCATCATGCTCTGCATATCTTGAATAGCCAAGAAGAATCGCATCCAAATCGAAGTCTGAAGCAACCTCAAGCATATCTAAAATCGACGACTTCTTGACAACATCAGATCTATCATTCTCACGCGAGTCCTTCACCTTCATCTTACTACACCACATCGCCCCAAATACCGATAATGGTGTTACTCCAATTGCAGTCGGGCATTTACCACATCAAAAACCGGCCATCTCCCACTACACATTTACGATGCTATGTATGCCCGCGAGGAGGAAATTGAGTCATAATCTACAAAGCTCGGGTCTTGGTCTATGGGGGGCCGTAGCTCTGATGGGGCTTCACATCTTGAGGGAGGACAGGCAGTTGGGACATGGGACTAACGAGTGAAGAGGACTCAAATGGACATTCTGGAACACACTTTTTTCGAGTGTTTTCAACCAAAAGGATTTCTGTGGGCGCAGAGGCAATGATTTCGGATAGTGCAACCGACACTCTAAAAACAGGCACCGATGGAAGTTGTTTTGGTCCGCCTCCTGGTCGTCGTCTCCCCGAATCAAAGTCTGGGTAGCCTGGACACCTACGTCACGCAAGAAAGGGAGGACTGTGAGGCCGTATCTCGCGCGGCGGCTACATACAAGATGGCAAAGGCATGTTAGGGCAGCCAAAGTTTTTTCCTGCTTTCCCTTTGGTGGATATTAATGATTGAGGGAAGGGTGATAGTCCCTAGCTCAAGAGTCTCGGATAGCATCAGCTAGTGCACCCACTACATGAGTGGTCCAAATTTCAAACTGAGTTATCGTCGCATATAGTCGTCGGGGAAGCTAGTCATCTCCGTGTCATATTCCTTGAGCGCAGGGCTTATGCCCGTCACGAATAAACTTTCATTCATTTTCTGCGTACGCTAGAAAAAGTCTCAAAAAAACTGCAGCCCTAGCCAGGCGAGGCCTAGACTCCGGAACCACATGAGGTGCGCAAATTCCTCTATATCTCCCTTCTTTGTAACATCAGAGGCCGACTTGATCCAATCCATTAATGTCATATCGGGTGCTGGGTATGCTCCGCAAACTCATCGGATGGCTTTTCCTCCATGATCAAGGGTTGGTGATGAGTAGGGCTCCGACCCTACCATCTAATCTGAAGGTGATAGGGGAATGTGTTGAAAGATGAAGACGATACAGACGGCGAAAGCGATTGGGAATCTTCATGGAAGTAAAAACTTTGTTACTCAATCTCGGCTCTGCAGAATCTTCAGTGAGAGCTGGAGGCTCGTAGGGGACACCACTGACAAGTGTTGACAATAGCCCCCCGGTCGCAAGGTGAGTTTGGCTTGGAAAGATCTTCCGAGATAAGTTGTCACGGTGAATGATGCCAGTTATGTAAATATGATCGCTATATAATTTTAATCCATTCTGCAGTTGGTACTCGGGGTGTATTTAATTGATTTCGTTGGGATTTGTAGTCTTGAAATATCTTCAGGTCGTACTTTCGACCAAAAACTTACCAGAACTACTTCTCTCGACCGCCATCTAGTGGAAAGCTCTCCAAAACACACTACACCGTAACTTCTTAGTTGCGAGGGAACAATTTCAAATCAGGTTCGTAGATTGAATTACTGAGAGGTGTCCAGCTTTTGTCCTTCTAAATTCACTTAGTATCAAGTCTTAAGTTAGGCAAATCTATTAATTTAATTAATTTATTAGCTATTCTACTTCCTTGCTATGAATTTATGTAAGATAAAAGTGATCGCCCTCTCCTTTCTTTCCAACAGTTCCAAGTCTCACCTTTCTTCTTCTTCTCAGGTTTTTTTGGGCAGTTTCCCTCTCCTCACGTTGTTTCTTCTTACGCTCATAGACTGCTCTAATACATCTTCTTGTTCTCTCCTTTCCCTCGTCGAAATTAGCCTGAGCGAGGGCAACAACATTATCAATCTCACTGGATGTGTAAACAAAATTCCATGTAGACATGTACTCACTTGTAGCTGGATCTACCTTCTCGATTCTTGGATTGCTCAAGAATGGGAAGTATATGATTGTAATTCCAGAGTTTGGCTCCATCAACTCCCAGTCTTCCTCAACTGCTTTTGATTTGACCATATCGGCAGAAGAGGAGCGTTCTTCCATTCTTCCAACCCAGATGGTGCAGTGGCCAAGCTCACTGTTACTATCGTGATTATTTGTTAATTCTTGCTCACCTCTAGGTTGATGGCGTTTTGCGAGTTTTTCATCTTCATTTTTAGCTGCTTCGAGTTTTACCTCTGCCTCTACTGCTGTACTCGCTTCAGCTTTCTCAAGCTTTCTGATTGCTGTTTCTGATGAATCACTAGGTTTTGGCCACCCAGCCCCCACTGGCCAACCTTTAATGCCACGTTGACGCGCATACCCTTCTGCTACTGAAAGCCAATTTTCAGTCTTTACATCAGCTGAAGCATCAAATGCTATTAATACATCTACATCCCGGCCGGGTCGAAGAAGTGGGTATATAGGTAAATTATTTGACATTCCAGCATCCATCAGTTGTATATATCTAGCTTGGTAGACTTCTTCTGGTACTGTTTCAGGTAGTACATCATTCATTTTGTACGTATAATTTGGTATTGATGAAGGATTGATTGGGTGGACTTTACTCATGTGTTCGTTTTTGTCCACAATCATTTCGTCTAGGCTTCCAAACCCAGTAAGACCACTGACAAGGGGTCTAATTTCCTTATAGTAATGAGATAATGTTGCACAGAAAGCACTTCCAAAAATACCAAGTAATAATGTTAAGCGTAACTCTGGCAGCTGTATTCCACTTTCATCATGAGGAACGTTGATACCACCCTCAAATTTACGGCCAATCGACCAGGTTGGAATTCCAGCGCCAAACTCTTCACAAAAAACCTCGTAAGGTGAAACCTCGAACCATTGAAACCAGGCTTCTTTGTCTGCTTTTGAGCTCACTCTTTCAGAAAAATTATTGGTAAACTTCTCCATAATTGAGGAATCTTTTGAAGCCGGTATATGATGACGCACAGCAGTATAGATAGGCATTGGATAGTGGCCATGGTCGATGAATTTTCGCTGGCTTGATATCTTTAGATCTGCGTCATTGACAGCCAAATTTCCCTTTGGGACTAGCAGTCTGGCGCCTAATAGTAGCCCATATACATCAACCAGCCCAATGTTAGAGTTTGGATCACCATAAAGCTTTTCAATAATGCCACTCAGAAGATATCTGTTAGTAGGGGCCGTGTTAAGCGTTGTCAACGCATCTAGCGGATAAGCTATATGTACTCCAATACGTGCCTTAAGGTGTCTAATTACATTTTCAAAACTTTGGTTAGTGAGTGAAGAGTTGAAAAGAGCTTGTAGCCAGCACGAGCCAGAAACTCCGGCCGTATATGCAGTGCAGTCGAAGAGGCCGTCTCTCTTGGTAGCTAACAAGGAGCCTGTCCCCGAGACTAGTGCCCTGAGACCCCCACCAGAGCTAACAATTGCAATTGTTGGCACATCATCGACGTGTACCTCCTCCTGGGGTATTTGAAGATAACTAGCTAGAGCATTTTTTGTGAAAATTTTTCTCCGCTTCAAATAATTCTTTTCTTCCTCACAGAGATCGGAGGAAACTCGTACACGAGCATCTTTATTGATTTCTGGATGAAGATAAGGATCCTGTGCTGCTTTCCATAATTCATCTGCCAATGATCCAGGTGCCATTGATAGCTCCTTCTGGAGCTTGCTTAAATGCGCAGGAAGAGATATGGCCCATGCTGGAAGCACATATTCAACTATTGTGCTTTTTACAGAGTCGATATTTGAATTATCTGTGGAAAAGAAAGAAAGCCTTGTCGCAGATATTCCCCATGTCGATAATTCTGCAGGGATGAGCTTACGGGCTTGGGAAGGCGGAGCTGAACAAATACCTGGGATTTCTGCACTACTTTCCAGGACACTAAGATCTTCGTCTTGCTGATTATGTTCGCTATTTTTAGGTTGTGCAATTGATGTATTTTGAACCTGATCAACCTGATAAAGGAAGTAGAGAAGACTACTTCCGATAATAAATGACCTTAGCTTAACAGTCAGGTTGCTGATCGATGATGACCTGCCTGGTTCTAGTAGTGAATTCTTGATTGAATGACTTCTGTGACTTCTGGCTTCGATGTGGAATGATCTGGTTGAAATTTGATGAGTACGACTGATGATATGCCAAATTCTGATTCTCGAAATATGCATTGAGTCTATCTTGTGAGAAGAGGGACTTATCTGACTTCTGGAAAGTGAGTTCACATGTTTAGAGAAAGAAAGGATCTAGTGGACAAACGATTCTTGCACATTATTTGTTGCTCCAAAAGGCTGGGCGCATTGACCAGATTCCATATGATACCCCTCCTACCACGAAAACTCAACTGTCAAGGGCAAAGAGACTTAATGCCTATAGGTGATGCTTTCCACGGATTCTTGCTGTTACTAAAGGGTCTGTAGATCTGAGATTGAATCCAATATTAGCCATGAGGGCTTCTACTTTTGATAAGTATACAGCATCATTTATCGCTCAAGACGGCATAAAGAAGTAAGGCTAGATTAAAGTACGGCACATATTTTCTGTCAATGCTTTCCAGAATTTTTAAATAGCCGTCAACATGCGCTGAGGTACAAGGGATGCAACGCGTCGAAAGGAAGCTAGTGAGGCGAAGAATGCGTCTCTTAAATACAACAAGTCTACAACGGCTGGTCGGCTTATCTCTTGGATCGCTCACAAAGACACTAATATCTTCGGTTTTAGTCCAGCTATCGGCGTTCAAGAAGATGAGCACCTAGCAGTTTCTAAAAAAATATTAGGCATTATAGAGCCGCAGGTGACCTTCATGTAGACATGTGGAAGGTGATAACATGAAGTATCTAAGATTACACCAACCGTTTGTTTGCATGAAATTTGGAGTAGTAATACTATTAGACTGAGCATATTTAAAGGGCATCGGAGGAGATAAATTACTCACGGCATAGTTATTCTTGCTCTGTAGGCAGATGAGTTCTACACGTTCTATACAGTCATGTACTGAGAGAAAATAATCTAACATGTAGAAGAAAAGTGAAGATGTAATAAAAAGACCAAACTTACCTATTCGGTGTATGCAGTTAGCTGTGCTAGGCTGTATAGACTTGAACAGCCCCAGACAAAACGTGAATGAGGACCAAATTTCAAGAAATTCGGACTTAACTTCCTACAGTGACTTGACGCATGTTAGCGGATAGCACATATTTTACGTGATTCCCAAGACTATTTCATTGAGTGCATCACAGATTAAGCTCACTGGTTAATTTTTGGAGACATTGACTGTCTGAACATGTAAAACCTATCTTTAATTGAAATATTGCCGCGTCCTCGCCCTAAGGCAAGCGATATCTGTGTTTAGCTTAGAATGCATACCACAACGTCATATGACCTTTTTTTCTAGAATAGTATGTGACTACACACAATAAAAATTCTAATCCGAAAACTCTCGACTGATCCACAAAAACGAACTCAATTTTCGGGCAATGTATCAAAATCTTCCACGTCATCATGACCTCTTTCCTCCGACAAATTGTCGCTGGCCCGCGGTCGCGCCACTCGGAAACTAATCTGGATCTCTGCTACGTAACACCACAGATTATTGCGACTTCCGGTCCCAGTGGTCGTTATCCTCAGCGAGCCTATCGAAACCCCCTAGATCAATTTGTGAGATTTCTGGACTACAATCATGGAAGTGATTGGGCGATATGGGAATTCCGTGCTGAGGGTACTGGATACCAAGATGAAGAGGTTTACGGGAGAATAAACCATTACCCATGGCCAGACCATCATCCACCTCCGTTCAAATTGGTGCCTGCCATCCTCGCAGATATGAGAGACTGGCTGGAGAAAAAAGACAAGAAAAAGACTGGGAACGATCGAGTCATAGTTATACACTGCAAGGCCGGAAAGGGTAGGAGTGGAACAATGGCTTGCAGCTACCTGATCTCAGAATGTGGATGGCAGCCCGAGCAAGCTTTGGCAAGATTTACTGAACGAAGAATGCGCCCTGGCTTCGGTCAAGGGGTCAGCATTCCAAGTCAACTACGATGGGTGGGCTATGCCGACCAATGGGCCAAACACGGAAAGAATTATGTTGATAGACAAGTTGAAATTTTGGAGCTTCGTGTCTGGGAACTGCGGAAAGGTGTCAAGATACAGGTTGAAGGGTACATCGAAGAAGGGAAGAAAATTAAGCCTTTTCATCGCTTTACAACGAACGAGAGAACAGTTGAAGGTGACAGTTCAGAAAATGAAAAGTCAAGCGGGACAGTCGGAATAACCAGCAAAAAGAAGGAATCTTCGAACATCTTAAACAAATTTTCCTCCAGCACGAAGAGCTCGGCCCTCTCATCTCCGCTTGCTAGAAAAAATGTCACTATATATAAACCTTCATTGCGTATAATTTTACCTACTAGCGATATCAATATAGATTTCGAACGTCGAAGCAAAAATAGTATAGGCTGGACTATGGTCACGTCCATAGCACACGTATGGTTTAATTGTTTCTTTGAGGGACTTGGGCCTGATAAAATTGCACAGCCTAGGGATAATGGAGTCTTTGAGATTGAGTGGGATAGAATGGATGGTATTAAAGGATCAAGCAGAAAAGGAGCAAGAGCTTTTGATCATTTGGCTGTTGTATGGAGAGTTTGTGACCCGGTAGAAAGAGACCAGCAAGGAGAAATGACACTTTCGTCGCAAACTCAATCGAAAGTGTCGCAAATTCCCGTAGTAGATAGTAAATCTACTGCCAAGACTAGATCAATTCAAGATAAGGAATCGGCTACAAGAACTATGAGTCTTGTATCGAATAGTTCAAGCCCAGCTTGCAAGGAAGAAAAGCATCAGATAGAGCATCATAAAAGCGATGGGCCAATGACCCACAGCTCAAGTGACACAGATCTTGAAGCTGTAGAATCAAGTTCCAAAAAAGATTTGAGTAAAAAAGCATCGATAGAAAACCAGTCTCCATGCCAAAATTCTCAGGAAAAACCAGCAGCATTAGACAGTAGTTAGATCTGGGCCTGAGGAGATAGATGCAACTTTTGAACCCTATATATCAATTTGTATTCACTCATAAATTTTAAGAGCTTTGTAGAATCCTGTGTCGATACGCTAGTTAAAAAAGCAAAAGACCCAATTATCACTTATGAGAGAAAATAAATACTCCTATTTGTATTTGTAACAGGATAATTAACGACGATAGTCCATATTGTAGTTTTTGTACATAGACTTCTTCCCTTTGAATGGAGAGCTGAGCGGGATAGGATGGTCTTAAAACTTGAAATGAAAAGCTAAAGTTGCTGCATGAATTGATATCAGCTCAGACCCTCTCGTTATTTTGTTTCTCTCTTTGAGGCCCGGCCTTTCTTTTCCTCCCCAAGCCGTGATTTTCTTAATTGTTGGCCGCATCTAGTATTGTGATTATGAGGAGGGGAATTGCATACAAACAGTGGCTTTATCAATATGTGCTTGACACTATTATGAAGTGGACGATGATATGTGTTCGCTTTATTAGATTTATTTCCTGATGATTGCTATCTATATGGAGGAAAATACTCCTATTTATACCTAAAGCTCATCTATCTAATTGCTAGTAGAATATTCCATCTTGTGATGTAAGATATTCTATCATATGCTATAGAATAGGTTACGTTCTTGTTCACACCATCCACATGCAACTGTTATGATGTCACTGCACCAACCACATCTTGTATAGATCTCTATATCATCTAATACAGCTTGTCTAATTGGCTGAGTGATTTCACATCATAACATCTAGTCCCTAGCCAGGACTCCCCCTATTGCTATCCCATTCACTTACTATTATGCTGTCTCTATCCATCAGCTAAATTATCAGACTTCAGTGTTTGGTTGCAGCCAAATACTTATCCCTGGAGGGCAACGATGTAACTAAAAGCTGAAGATTAAAATTAAGCTACACTAGCCTTCAGCCGGAGGGCAAGACTGAACACCTGTACGCGGTGTCCTCTACGAACCTGGGAGTGAAATATTCTCCCAGAGCCAAGTTCAGTCAAACTTCGCAATACCGAACAAGTTGGCCCACGAGGCAATGATTCAAATTACTCCACCATATCAATCTTTCACTCCCAACGAAATCGATTCCTACCTAAACCTCATCAAGTTTACAAGTACGACCTAGTACATCCTCATCCCAATGACCACACCTCTTGTCGACTTTCTCTGGCCTTAGCTGGTCGCCAGATACACGCCCACGCCGATATTTACACCCGACGGAGGAAGCAAAGCATGGCGCACAAATCTGGAAGACAATTCCTTGGGATGGATGTGAGAGAGATCAGGGCAAGTTAATAAGATGATGCAGAGGATTGGATACAGTCTCGACGGGCGTGGAATTTTGAATTTTGGAAAGGAGTTTTTACAAATTGAGCTTTGTGCGTGCCAAGTCTTCGGCTGCGAGAGTGCAGGCGACACTATAAAAACTGCCATAGTTAGATGGTGCGGTGGTACATCATCTTGGCCGGTCTGCCAAGTAGAGTCTGGATAGCTTGGACACATATCCCACTTGAGACAGTAGATCGCTGGTTCGAATCCGGCAAAACACAACCACATTTCTCGCGGCGCTGGTATGCATGGATGACGAAGGCATGCTTGGATAATCAAAGGTTTTTAAATTCCCTTTGGTGAGTACTAACGGAGGAGGGTCGACTGTTTGTGTAAGCGAACATACCTCATAGTGGTATTTGCAAATGAAATCCAGAGTATGAGTGTCTCTAACGTCAAAAGAGTCATCCCACATGTATACATAGCGCCGGTCATGTGTCATAGCTAGATAGCTGAATACACATTAAATGATTTAAAAAAAAAAAAAATAGCCTTCAGCCGAAACTCAGCCGGCAAAGTCAAATTCTTCACCTTCCAGTGGTGCCGGCATAATCGCTCAGTATGCTCTGCATATCTGGGATAGCCAAGAAGAATCGCATCCTTCGCAACGGCAGCTTGCTGAGCGTGGCCCAGTCGATTTCGATTGACACATGGGCTAGGTTCCGTTCCCGGCACGATAGATCGAAAGTTTAAGTTTGGGTCCCATCTATTCAGTCTTCTAACAACTTCCCGATTGAGTTTGACTGGGAGGACTTTACGACTCACCAACAACCCTCCAAAATCAAAGGTAAACTTCCTTTCGCTTTCAACCTTAATAACATTGTGTGCAGGACTGGGCAATTGCTCGGCCTCATTTTAGACAAGCACCTCGACCGCGACATCAACATTCTCAACATTTCGACACATTCCAAAGACGGCGCGAACGAAGAAGCCTCACTCAGACAACGAAAAATGTACGACAAAAGCTGGGGCACCGATGCCTCGGTTTCGAGCTCTCGATTTCGGAATTTCAACTCTCTCAAATGGGGGTTGAGCGCAATGCAGGGGAGAATTTGGGGAAAACGATATGTGATTTTCAACAGGCTGTTGGCACAGTTGGTCGGGTGCTGGATGTGCTTTCTAGAAGTGGTAGGTTGGATTCCTACACGGCTTGTTTAAGGGGGGACTTCGGCTGCTCGTCGTGAAAGAGTACAGGAGGAATTATTGAGATTTTCCCACAATACATGGTTTTAGGATCATGGTGAATGCGTTCCTACCTATTCGACCCGATGTAACTAGCGTGAGGCACGTATTTGGAAAAGTCAGGCACCGGATGGGCTTTGCTGGAGAATGGAGGAACTTGTATTCTAGATGTCCTCCATGCGTGTCATGTCCATTGGATGGAGGGTGTAAGCCTGGCACGATAAATATAATCATCATCATCTTCAGCCGAAACTCAAGCTTCGATTTTTATCCCACATCGCATTACCCATTACCCTTATTTACAAGAATCCTCAATCGGTGCAATAGCCCCAGCTGTTGCATCGTCATCGACAACGCCCTCAAATCCAGGAGGGCAACTTCACCCAAGCCTGCTTGGCATTGTGAATACAATGCAAAAAGCAGAACAACAACGGAAAGAAAGACTGGATATAGCCCAGGAATTTCTAGAACTAATCGACTCCTGGGCTAAGAGCAAAGGAGAGAAACAAGCGGCAGCAGCCGTCGCGACTCTACTGGAAAACATCACGCCTGTTATCACTGCCTTCGCAGTAGATCAGGTAGAAGCATCTAACTTTCCAAGTAAGAAGCCCCCCACCATGGCAAGCACTCCAAAACCAGTCGCGCCTAGGAAAAATACAGCTGTTGAGGATCACAGCCACGCTTTACCCCCAAAGCCTCAAGATACCAGCTCGCCCTGGGTGACAGTAGCCCGCAAAGCGGCCAAGTTACCGACACCACCAAATGTGCAAGTTCCGCGAAGGCCTGCTCCATCAAGCCACTCTAAATCACAGACAACCCAAAAGGAGGACAAACGCCTGTTCCTTCGATTGGGGAGAGATCACCACTGGCACAAGCTCTCGCCAGTTACGATCAAGAAAATTATAACCGACAAGGCTGGGATAGCAGACTCAGCTATCACCTACATGTACCCAGTCAGGTCGGGGATCGCTCTCGAATGCGCATCAGATGCATTGAGAGATACAATCATGAGAATTGCACCTTCCCTACAGGAAGACAGCACCGTGATTGAGGAGGCGTCCAAATGGACATCATTGATCGTACCTCATGTGCCATTGTACATCAGGACGCTTGAAGGCAGCATCCCAGTCACCTATTATATGGTGAAGAACGAGTGCCAGGCTGTATGCGGCGCCACACCAATCCAGGTAAGGCCCACAAAAACAAGGCTTGGGCAATACTCAACGAGCTGGATTGTTAATTTCCAACAAAAGCCAGCAAACACAAAGTTTCGTCTCTTTGACGAGAGCGGACCAGCAATTCCCTTCTCGCGCCGAAGACCAATCGAGCAATGCCAACGTTGCTGGGGATTCCACACAACGCGTTCCTGTACTCGGAGCCAACGATGTGGGAGATGTGGGGTAACCCATGAGACATCAGAGTGCCAGGCAAAGGTGTCAAAGTGCTCAAATTGCGCGGGACCTCATCACTCAAATGAGGGCAGCTGTATGGCCCGGCCAAGACGACAAAACGGGATAATTCTGCCCCGTACCCCGGCAGAACTTCACATCATCAGAGAACGCGGACATCGTGATTATCACGCTGCTCTAGCGTACTCTGAAAGGAAGGGCAAGGCGGTTGAAACCGTCATTGCCCAGGACTCAACAATGTCGTGTTAATGTTAGGAAACCCCTCAACAAAAGCACCAAAAGACAAGTACAACACCGTCTATTTTCACCAAGTGAATGTCTGAAGAGGTGGGAAAAATACGGATATAGCATTGCAGCAGGCATGGGAGGCCGGTGCACATGTAGTCATGGTACAGGAACCACAGACAAGAAAGAAAGAGGGGGGCTTTATAACAAAAAGTCACCCTGGCTACAATAGCCATATACCAATCGGAGGAACAGACATCCGGCCCCACGCGATTACTTTCACGCGCAAAGGTAGTCATGCGACTCAGCTATTTCCACCGTTGTTTGGCCCGACATCTGACTACTGTTTTGTAAAGATGGGCAGCCTAACCTTTGTCAACGTATACCGTGCCCCAGGTACGAGTGGAACCTTGGAGCCCCTACTCCGGTGGGAAATTAGAGGTCTAGTGATTGTTGGAGGCGATTTCAATTCTGTGTCACGGCATTGGCAGCCGCTAACGACAAATCGGTACGGCAATGGTAACCAAATTATGGAATGGGCAACAGCCCATGACATGGACCTAGTCAGAATTGTTGGAGAGCCAACGCACAGGGATGGGAACGTCTTAGATCCAACGTGGAGCAACACGGCCGCTATAGCATCAGTGTCCAACCGCTACCACTGTACCTCAGATCACTCGACCATCGAAGGTACCGTGCTTAACCCTACAGTGTTAGATCTCTCTGGAATTGTAAAGAACTTTCGTGTCAGCGATGCCAACTTGAAGGAATTTAGCCGATGCGTTAGACAATGGACCAAATCTGGCCCTCTCGACAGTGTCGTTAACATCGAAA